CAACCATCATCATTGTGTAGTGGATTTTATATGACTGTAGAACATCATGGCACGATATCATCATCATGTATCATCACCACAACCATCATCATTGTTGCAGTGGATCTTATATGACTGTAGAACATCATGGCACGATATCATCATCATGTATCATCACCACAACCATCATCATTGTTGCAGTGGATTTTATATGACTGTAGAACATCATGGCACGATATTATCATCATGTATCATCACCACAACCATCATCATTGTGTAGTGGATTTTATGACTGTAGAACATCATGGCACGGAATAAGCAACATCCGCTAAACTAATCACAGTGCGCACACTTTCTACTCGTCCTATTAAAATGCCTGGACATGGTACCTTCACGGCACGGCACGTCCGTACCATGAATTTTAAAGTCATACAAAATATTCTTTAATTATCAATGCTCATCATATGACTCACTTGTCTAGTTTTCCCTCAATAATCTTCAATGTAAGAGACTTGGCTGATCGTGCTGTATTGAATGCATCAGCAATACCAAGAAGGACACCTGAAAGAAATATGAAGTATGTCATCGTGGGTCTTTTTAACGCGGCAGCCATGTTGCTTCGAACAATAGATTCCACTACACGTAGCCTCGTATACAAGTGAGTTGAGGATGAATTTATGCAGGTGAAACAAAGGTTTTTATTCTTATGAGGATAAACATGGCCGCCGTGTGATATAGGTTCATTACCACAATGCACTGCGCACCGGAAACAATGTAATGCTATGCAATGTACCATTTTCTCTGTCAGACAAAATGGCGGTTTTGGAGGTGGTTTTACGACCATCATGATATAATGATACGTAGTCACTTAAAGCTTTCCGCCAGATTTTATATAGCAGTTTACGTATGACTGTGAAAAAGTCGGTGCCATAAGCGTGTCTTGCCTTGCCGAGATTTTTTCTAGAATTTTGATCGGGGGATTTTTTTTCCTCGCATAATGTGATTGGTCTTGCAGTTCCGTGACCTTGGCGTGACCGTGACCACGCCGTGTTTGTGTCGTGTTTCGGTCATTTGATTGGATGGAGAGTAAATTCTCGTGTAATGTGATTGGTCTTGCAGTTCCGTGACCTTGGCGTGACCGTGACCACGCCGTGTTTGTGTTGTGTTTCGGGCATTTGATTGGATGGAGAGTAAATTCTCGTGTAATGTGATTGGGCGTATCCCTTGCCGTGTCACGACCGTGTTCGTGCCGTGAGATTTTCAAAGTCATACGAAAACGTTTCTAATGTATCACTATCACCATCACCACTTCCATCACCATCACTATTGTTCACCAACATCATTATTATCTGGAACCATTACCATTGACACTACACAACAGTTTGTACGGCACGAAATACCTAAATATCTTACCTCTAGCCTCTTCTGGTGTTCGATGTTGGATGGTTCTCAAGGTATGGAAGTACCCACTACTGTTCTGGTACTTGTAGAATATACGAATAAAAAGGTAACGCGTCCTGAACGACGGCTCAAACCCTATAATAACAACACATTTCAGCTAGTATACTATATGATGGCAGATAACGATTTCGTTTTGACAGGGGCAAGGTGGTTTGGTATTTAACTTTTGGGGAGAGGTTGAAATAGGGAAAAGGGGTTTAATAGGGGATCATGCATCGTTATGCAAAACAGGACTCAAAATCTATTTCAGACCACGTGTCATTCCCTTGAAAATAATATTCTTTGTTCTAGTTGTATCCATATTCATGTGTTTTCTCACGCGCAACCGTTAAAGAAGGAAATGACACTCTAGAGAATGACACGTGGTCTGAAATGAGAAAACATTACGTCAGAGCCGAGGAGGTCTATTGAAGGGCTTCCTGAATATTGATTGACACCCACAACACAATTGACCATTTCCCATACATTGGTTCACTGGTCAAACACAAAGCGGTAAAGCGAGGCGCCAAGGTACTTTCAAAGGATTATTCAAATTTGGACCTTGCAACCTCGACTGAATGCTTTGTGTTTGACCAGTGAACCAATGTATGGAAAATGGTGAACGCTTGAGACCCAGGACTCACTTCACTTGTGTTGATAAGGGCTTCCTGAATATTGAATGGCACCCATAACACAATACTTGGGACCTCAATTTGAGGTCAAATAGAAAATCCTAATACAAGTAACCCCCGTCTCTTACCAATTTCAATTTTCTCCACGTCTTCAAGGGGAATACGTTCATACTGGGTTATTCTTTCTGCATCGTCATCGTAGCTGAAAATATTATAAAAAAGGAAAATAAAATATAAAAGAAACAAGAAACAAACGAACAAAAGGAAACGAAAAAGGAAAACCCCATTAACTGACATAGGATAGTGGCATAGGATAAAAAGTAAGAAGAAAAGAGAGAAAGGAAAAGGAAAAGTGAATGAATGGGAAAAAGAGTAGAATGCTATCCACAATTGATGGTTTTCAACCATTCCTAAGAGAATTAAATAACAAAAGACACGGCGGCCATGTTGTAGGATATAACAAAAGAATTCATTGACAATTCTTTAAAAGAATTCATTGACAATTCTTTTGTAAAGTTCCTCCAACATGGCCGCCGGGAAAACCATCAATAGTATGAAGAAACCAGAGACGACGTACATCAAGGTTTGGGAACCCTGTTGTTGACATTCTTACCTCGCTACATAGTAATCATCATATGTGAGTAATAAGATAACGTCCTGGTCTTGATTGGGCTCACCATCAGGGCTAAAAAGCGAAAGCACTGATGTTTATTCTAAGTCTCAAATCAGACTTCACATGAACCGTACGCATTGAAACAATAGATTATAAGTCGGCTTTTTTAAAATGATATCTATAATAGAGCGTTTTCACTCACGTGACTAGGCAGCCATATTGGCGTACCAAACAATAGAGACTTTCTGCACAGTTTTTGCATAAAAATAGAGTCAATTCCCTGAGGATAGAAAATGTAATGTTTTGGTACACCAACATAGCCGCTGTGACGTCACGTGAAAACGCTCTATAGGTTTGGCTCTTATGAAGTTTCAACGTTTGTATACGGCCTCACAGTAAGGTAGGCGTTTAAGTTGTGTTGATACGAGTAACAAAAACGCGCACATTCTCAATGTTGCGTTTCAAGCTGTAGAGTAAACTGCTACTGGTCCGACATTTCCGACATTTGTCTATTAGTTTGAAACAGCTGAGTTTGGATATTAGAGACCTTTAGCACGGCGTTATTGCTAGCCCCGCAAACCTCAAACTGCAGTTCGACGTCAGGCGTTTTTCGTCAAACTTTCTTTAGTTAGCGTGGCGTCAAGTTGTTGCTGGAAGAGCCGCCATGTTGAATTTCAATAATGCCGAATGTTTCTGGGCCTAATTCCTAGCGGTTACTGGTTAGCGGTAAACATGATGCTAAAGTTTTCTAATATATGTTGAGCAACTCAGCCTGAATCATAGTCTCCCCCACAGTCGTTCTTAGTGACGACACTAGAAATATCAGCGGGGCTCAATAATCTATGGTGAATTTTATTATTAGAGATTATGAGAATATCAATAATGTGACTGCCTGTTGCCATAGTAACGCACCTGTAGAATGGATCCACTAGTGCCCAGCCTCCAAGACATTCATCAGTTTCAGATAGCAATAACCACTGGCAGTGAAGCACCAACTGTGCCACACATTCCTCTCTCTCCATTGTCCAGGGATCTTCTTCCTCGCCCCCCTTCAAGGCAGCCATTGCTGCGGTAAGATCTTCTGTTAGGGGGTTGCCGAGCATTGCATCTGGAACAAGAATGTCGTAGCGTTAGGGTGGTTGTTGGAGGAGAGACATACTTTCTTCAGTAGCTGGATAAATGGGTGAGAAGTAGAGTGAAAAATTCGCAGGAGGTTGAACACGGAAAATAATAAGTGAAAAGAAAGGAGTAAATATTTCAAGGGAGGAAGAAAGAAAGGAAGGGGGGGAAGAAGAGCAGCAGTAAGGCGGACTCGCGGAGCGTCGGCAATGCACCTGGAATTTCACGGGTATTTCCCGGGCTTGGGACCCCCTTGCGCGATCCGGCGACCGTGTCGAGGAGCGCCTTACTGCTGCTATCGCAAACGAAGGTTAAAATATTTCCTAGATATAGATGGACAACATCACGAGCATTCGAAATAGAACTGTACGTAGGTTACGAACTCAAGTGTTGGATCGTTTGGATGCCGACTTCGCCTTCACGACATTTACAGAAGGAGACATAGAAGAAATTATGGA